AATAATAATAATAATAATAATAATAATAATAATAACAATAATGATAATAATAATTACAAAATGTCAACATATTTTCCTCTCCTGCCCATCTAACAAACTCTAAAATTTTAGAAAATTCATGCTCATAGAATAGTACTTAATGAATGGATAAACATATTATTGCTATAATAGATGGAAGAATATCAACCATATAAGAAAATCAATTTTATAATCGTATATTTTAAACTTGCAAAATTACGATTCCGGTATTAGGTTTGAACATAATGGGATAATCTCAAGTTAGAAATAGCAAGTAAACCGGGAGATTACCATTTTCGACATGATAGAAAAAACATTATAACTTAAAATAGTTAAACCGGAAAGCGAAATAATTATAAAATGTTACAGAAAATTATAGAAATAGCATGATTCTGTAGATTTAAAATGTATAATAAAATAAGAAATTTTTTTCACTAAATATTACATAATTGTTTCAAATGAATGGATATACTAACTCAAATAACATTCTTCACTTAAAAAATGTCTTCAACAAATCAAAAAAAAATATATATATATATATCATAAAAATTGATTTGTAACCTTTGCATTGCACTGTAACAACATTTTAAACCTAAAATATTTAAATATAGCATAATGTATTGACTCAGTTTTTGTGATTATACGATATTGCGCATATCACGTGATTACACTATTACAATGTTATTCTTTAGGATTGTTAAGAAAATATGTAACCCATAAAGTGAATGAGAACTGTAAGTGTGGAATAATTTAAACTAATTAACAATGATGCAATATGCAATAACCATTTCGATATATTTCACAAATTAATGGGGAAATTTTTCGAATACTATAATTAGTTAATGAGAATTTCAAAATTCAATGTATCTTCTTCAATATGAACTCATAAATTATTCACTTGATCCTTATGATTTAAAATTCTATCAACTTTCTTAGCTATACTTACGATGGTCGAGTGATATAGCATTTCCTAGAATTTCAGTAATGCTGAACACAACTGCACCAACTATTTGTGATTAAATATTTCCTGAGATTTTTCGATTAGAAAGTTGTATAGTTTTGCAAAATTTATTTAGCGGAAATTTTTTTTCGTCCAAAAGTTCCTATCATTTTTAAGAAATGTGATGAAAATAAAGTTGCTTTTCATAGTGACGATAAATGTAGGATTAAATCAACAAAAAATTACGAATTTATAAAGGTAACATGGGAAAAAAGAAATATGGAAATAATAAAAACGAAATATAAAATAACTTTTGGGAAAAATAAAACTTTTTTTGAAATGGAATGTAAAATATTTGACCATAACAATGCGCTTATATGTTATTGTCACATAATAATGATAATTAATTTCGTCAAATTTTTGTTAACTTTGCAAATACATACGCATTGCTAAAATAGTAAAGAGTATATACCATAATTAATTAGATTTCCTTTGCATAAAAGCATACGTAAATTGTTTACATTTTTTTTTCACTCAAACAATAAAGGACATAAACAATGCCTAAATTAATTTAATTATATAAATTTACAAGAAAATAGCATATATTTATCCACGGAGACTAATCAATAACTTACTAACTGAAAAATTCCTAGGTAATCATAAGAAAAAAAAAGAGATTATTCCCTAAAATTTTGACATGAAAGGAAGCAAAGGCTATAATTAGAAGATAAGAATGTATTATGTGAAATATGTCGGAAATTAAAGCAAATTTTCGGTTAATTAATAGATAGATTCGAATCAACCATTAAATTTTTATTTTCAAATATGAGCGATGAATTTATAAAATATATCAGTAAATATTCAAGATTAATTAATAAATTAATTAATTGACTGTTAAAAAAGAAAAAAAAACAAAAACGAAACACATTATCATCGTTGTTGTGACAATGTTAACATTAGATTAGAGATTATATAAGCATTGTTATAAAAAAAACTTACCACGTGGATTATCGGTAATCTTCACTTCCTGCACTGTAACTTTAGCAATATCAACGGGAGGATAAGGACAAACAGAATCGGGCAGTGGTGGCGTTATTGTTGATTGTCGCATAGTTGCAGTTATACCTGCGGTACCAGAAGGAGCTGAAGTGGAGAAATCATGTTGGATCTGGGTCAGATGTTGAGGTATTGTTAACGGGAACGAAGGTGACGGAATCCGGGATGTGTTCAGCAGTAAATGCTGATTGGGAACGTGTTCCACGTAATTCGATGGTACTAAACCCGTTTGGCCATCCAGCTTTTCGCCACGATAAAATTGATCCTCATCCATTTCACCGTGTACCAGTATATAGTCTCCGGCCTGAAATATCACTTGAATGATTAAAAAAGAAAAAAAATATTAAAAGATAAATGGAACAATAATTATATGTCTATTTAATACGGTATTAGCTGAAAATGATAAGAAATTTGAAAAGAAAAAAAATTAAAGTACTGTTAATCTAATTAGGACTAATAAAGGATAATATTTGGTGCAAAAACTAATCTTATCCATTTCAGTACAAAAATTTGTAAAAAAAAATAATAGTTAGCACAAGCAAAAAAAGTTATTGTAATTTATCGTCTAAAGATTCATAAGGATATGTTGTTGAATGGAAGCCGAAAAGTCTGAAAAAGGTATTTATCAAGTCGATGAAGGAAATACAACAAAGCAGTAGCCATTCATTAGCATATTAATAGTATAAAGAATACCAATAATTCAGTGGTACTCCGGATAACATATGTCAAACTTCACTTCTTTGTTTTCCTTTTTAGTCCAAATAAATTTTACTAGTCAAAGTAACATACCAGCTACAAAAGTTGGATTCATCATTTTTGTTACATGGATCATTTAGAATAAAGTTGCTTATATATTACATATATATATATATATATAATGTCGCATCTCTTAATGTTATCATGAATAAATCCCCAGTATTAGAAGCAATTAGTTATTATCGGTAGTATTTCAAGTAATTGATTATTATCGAAATAGCTACTCAAAAATTTTAATTCTGGCCCTTTTTTTGATTGAATAGCAGTGAATATAGGAAGAGAATCATAGAAGAAGGCATACTTAGTTTGAGCTTTTAAAGCATTAAAAAAAAAAAAAAGCTCTACCGAAAAGACACAGTAGAATAGTTTTCTTGAAATGGAAGGTCTTACGATGTCAACTAAATCCCTTTTTTTTTTATCCTAACCTTAACTGGATGACATTGGATCCTGCACTTTTAAGATTCGTTGATACTACTATATCAAGCAAAGCTCTTTTCTTTCCATTTCGTGACTTGGCTTTGTGACTTTCGAATTTTGGGAAGCAACATTTTTTTTTTAATATTGACATTCTCCGCCTCTATGAAAAGAATTTTTTTCAAATAACTTGAAATCAACAAAGTAACATTCTGTTATTGCCATGCAGTGATCATTTAATTAGATGAAAGTGAAAATATTTTGGTAAAAAAACAATATAGTTCAATTTGTTGATAATTTGTTATTTATTGCAATCAATTAAGAGGAATAAAGTGGTATGTAGTTAATATTCTATACTTTTCATCTTATCAAATTAATTAATTTCCATTCGAAAACTGCTTCATTTTTAAACAATAAGCTTGAAATCCAATATCAAAAATGGAAATAAACATTATGATATAATTAGTTTAATGACTTCTGATAAATGGTCAGTTTCGTAGACATCCGATATTATCACTGAATCTTCTCTGTGACATTTCATCATCATCATCAATCAACCTCGATCTATCAATAATGGCAAAAGTTAAACTAATTATTATCCAAAAGAATTACATACTTGAAGTGGTAATTCCAATTGCGGATTTTCATTCGGTGAATCACGTATTGGAAGATACTGGAATAAAGCGCGGAACAAACGCGCAGAAGGTTTCCGGTGTAATGCTAACAGTAAAGCATCTGATATACTGGTATGTGTTTTGGTCGCAGTTGAAAAAGGTTGTTGTTGTGGATGAACGGTTTGTTGCCGTTCCGGTTGATAATGTTGCTGATAAGTGTGATAAATGGTAGATGTCGGATTCTCACTGATATTCTGACTAGATCCAGATGAATTTTGTACTGAAGTTAACAGTGAAGCAGTGGAATGTTGTTGTAGATGCTGCTGTTGCTGCTGATGGCGATGTGAATGCGGTATCGTACCGGAACCGCTAGCTGTATATGCTAACGGCATAATGCATTAGGAACAATCCCATCAGTTGATGATACATAATAATCAGATTTTAAAGAAATAAACTTAATATTATCCTAGAATAATCCGAAATGTGAATAATTAGGAGAAGGGTAGGAGAAATTGAGGAAATATTTCTGAATTCCTGATATATTTCATCATAACATGATAGAATTCAATTCGTTGCTGCACTGTAATAACTTGCAGATAATATAAGCAAAAACTCAGATAATAATTAATAATGAAATAAATCATTACTAATTGAATTTCACACCTATTTTCTCTATTTATTGAAGGAACAAAATAAATAAACAAATGAATAAATAAAATAACAACAACGGTATGAAAACGTGAAAAACATGGAAAACATATCGATCATCAATCAATTCTGCAAAAAAACTTTACAAAAAAAATATTCTACAAAAAAAGTGATAATAATAACAATACCTTAACCCGAATGAAACGTGGGAAAAGCATGAAATAATAAAATAAACAATTTACGTCATTAATATCACAACATACTTCTCACGTTTCTCACGTTTCCGTAAAATGCATGAAATGTGAGCCCACATGAATCGTTTCCCGTGAAATAGCAGAGTATTAGTCGGGTAGTAGCAATGCAGATTGCGCTAATTTATGCTGAAAATATATGGATGTGTGTGTGTTTGTGTCTGTGTCTGTCTGTAAATATATTTGATGATGCCTAGGCTATATTAAGAGAACAATCAGAACTCGAGTAGCTTTATCCATTTTTCTGTTCCTCAATTTTTCTCCTCTTTTCTTATCCTACTACAGGCCTATTTTTCTTTATTGATGTAAAGTGGGTAGCACAGGGAGTGATGATGGTGATGGGCCAAGCTAGTAATAAGTCTAGCTTGGCTCTTTCGTAATTAACTTCCTATCTCTGAGAAAGGCATAAAGACTGAAGAGAAGAAAAAGAATTGAATGAAGTTAGGACAGAAATAAGCCAGGAAAAAGGGCGATAAACAGGCATGAATTCAAAAACTTAAGCTTAGTAAAATATGAACTAGAGTGTCGCGGACCTTCCTTCTTTTCTCCCTCTCTCTCTCTCTCTCTCTCTCTCTCTCTCTCTCTCTCTCTCTCTCTCTCTCTCTCTCTCTCTCT